ATATACCTTTTTATAATTTAACTGTAATTTGTTACCTTTTGCGTTAATCATAGACACACGCTTAGGTTCGTAGTGTTAATTCTTTTGGTATATTGTTGGTAACGTTGCGAATTGTTATATTTCAACTAAGCTCTTTTGCTGAGGTCCACCACAAATCTGGTGAGCCCTTATATCTCTGTTTGGAACTGTAATTTTGAGTTCACTTATAAACATTACGGCGCTGATTTTTCTCTTGGTAGTGATTATTTTTTGTATATTTGTAATGTTTTCATCCGAGTCTGAAGACATCAGCCAGGACAACGACCGAACAGAGTTACACGCTTTAAACGTAATAAATGTACCTCCATTCAGTAGAGTAAACCCTCGTATATGGTTTGCACAGGTGGAAGTGCAGTTTCAGCGTCGTAACATTCGTTCACAACAATCGAAATACTCCTTTGTGCTTGGAATTCTACCAACTGAGGTAGCATCTGAGGTATCAGACCTCATAGACAACGTCCCTGTATCAAATGCCTACGACCAGTTGAAGCAGGCTATTATTCAACGTACCTCACTCTCGGATGAAAAGAAGCTACAACAATTGCTACATGAGTGCGAGCTAGGTGACAAGTCACCTTCCCAATTATTACGCCACATGAGGCAGTTGGCTGAACCTTTTAAGGTTGGTGATATATTTCTGAGAGAAATTTGGCTACAACGTTTACCAACAGTAGTCCGGCAAATTCTCTGCGCTTCTAACCAATCTTTAGACTTAGAGGTTCTAGCTAGCATGGCTGACAAAGTTCTAGAAGTAACGCCAAGCACAACACCCTACGTGCAGGCGATATCACAAACTTCGAGTGACACTAAAACTCCGAACATAGCTTCCTTAACAGCTGAATTAAGTGATTTACGTACACAGCACGCACGCACAGTCGCCAGTCTTGAAAACAAGCTAGATACATTACAATCAATTATTTCCAATCTCACATCTCGAAAGTCTCGCTCTAGTTTTCAGGGGACCAAGAACCGAGATAACTCAAGAACAAAGAAAAATGATAACATCTGTTGGTACCATAGAAAGTATGGTGACAAAGCTAGAAAGTGTGTTACGTCCTGTAAATTTTTCAGGTCATTTTCCTCGCCAAAAGATGTCAACCAGGCAGTAGTACCGACAAATGTTACAGGTCATGCTACTAGTCACCTTTTCCACGTTCTCGACAAAACTTCAGGCTACAAATTCTTAGTAGACACTGGAGCCGAAGTCAGTGTTATCCCAGTTACGCTAGCCAAGAAACCTATTTCTAAATGTGGAAAATATTCATTGAGAGCAGCTAATAAAACTGAAATAAAAACATTTGGAGAACAACTCTTGACATTAGATTTGGGAATTAGACGTCGACTAAACTGGGTGTTTATTATTGCTGATGTCCGTCACCCTATATTAGGTGCAGACTTTTTAAGCTCCTATAACTTATTAGTCGATGTTAAAAAACGAAAACTTATCGATTCGTGCACAAAACTCCAAGTTCATGGAATTCAGTCACACTATCATATACATAGTATTAAAATCAACACTCCAGTAAACGACATATTCGCCAATATTTTATCTAAATTTCCAAAGTTAACGAAACCAGATTACAGCGAAAACACCATCCAGCATTCTGTGGTGCATCGAATTATCACCAAAAACCAACCAGTTTCGGCACGTCCTCGTCGTTTACCACCGGACAAACTTGCAGTTGCAAAGGCCGAATTTGAGCACATGATGCGACTAGGAATAATACGTCCGTCGAGTAGCTCCTGGGCATCCCCACTCCACATGGTACCTAAGAGGGATCAGGATTGGCGACCTTGTGGTGATTATCGATCACTGAATAACTTAACTTTACCAGATCGTTACCCCATTCCCCATTTACACGATTTTTCACTTACGTTACACGGTAAACAAATTTTTTCTAAAATCGACCTTGTGCGAGCGTACCATCAAATTCCAGTAGCATCTGAAGATGTAGCGAAAACAGCCATCATTACCCCATTTGGTTTGTTTGAATTTCTGAGAATGCCATTTGGATTAAAGAACGCCGCACAGACTTTTCAACGATTTATGGATGAAGTCACTAAAGGCCTAGATTTTGTTTTCGTGTATATCGACGATGTATTAATAGCCAGTAGTTCATTTCACGAACATATTGATCACCTACATCAACTTTTCGAGAGATTTCAGAGATTCGGTATAGTCATTAACCCATCCAAATGCATTTTCGGAGTCGAAGGCTTAGAATTTTTGGGTCACTCGATTGACAAACATGGTATCAAACCCTTAGACGCAAAAATTGAAGCTATCAAAAATTTTCCAGAGCCAGACTCACTAAATAAACTTCGACGTTTCTTGGGTATGTTTAATTTTTATCGTCGGTTTATCCCTCACTGCTCAGATATTCTACAACCCCTAACGGAGGCATTAAAAGGCAAAGCCAAAAAGTTCACATTATCCTCCGAAGCGAAAGATGCCTTTACTGCTGCTAAAACAGCGATTGCTTCTACCACCATGCTGACCTACCTCAGTCCTGATCCAGAAGCAACACTAATTTTGTGTACAGACGCTTCTCAGGCAGCGGTAGGCGCGGTGCTGCAACAAAGAGTAAATAATGAAGTCAAGCCACTTGCTTTCTTTTCGAAGAAGCTAGAACCGGCCCAAACCCGATACAGCACATTTGGCAGAGAATTATTAGCTGTTTATCTAGCAGTTAAACATTTTAAACACTTACTACAAGGTAGAGATTTCGTAATCTTCACTGATCACAAACCTTTGACTTACGCTTTCAATGCCAAAAGTGATCGTTATTCTCCTAGAGAAACTCGACAGTTAGATTACATTTCTCAATTTTCTACCAACATACAGTTCATAAAAGGTGAGTCAAATGTTGTGGCAGATACTTTGTCACGTTTCGACATTGATGCTATTTGCTCCACTAAAGGAATTGATTTGTTGGACATTGCACGCTTACAGGTTGATGATCCTGATCTTGCGGCTTGTAAACAAAATTCGAGTCTAGTATTAAAAAGTATTCCAATAGCACATTCTGATTCTACTATAATTTGTGATACTTCAACTGGAATACCCAGGCCATTTGTGCCAATAGCGTACAGAAAAAAAGTTTTTGATTGTCTTCATTCATTATCTCACCCAGGAGTTCGAGCTACTGCGAGACTGATCGGAGAAAGATTTGTCTGGCCAAAAATGAACTCAAACATAAAGGAATGGACCAGAAATTGTTTACAATGCCAGCGTAGCAAAGTTCACAGACATACGATTACAACACCGTCAACATTCAATCTACCTGACCATCGTTTTCAGCATGTCCACGTTGATTTAGTTGGTCCTTTACCCCCATCTAACGGATTTACTTACATCTTTACTGCAGTGGACCGTTTTACCAGATGGCCAATAGCATGTCCAATAAGAGATATCTCAGCAGAAAATATTGCTGCCGTGTTTCTTGACAGATGGATTTCTAATTTCGGTGTACCTTCTACCGTTACTTCCGACAGAGGTTCACAATTCCAATCGCACCTCTTCAACGAATTTACGCGCATCTTGGGAATCCATCACATCACTACAACTGCATACCATCCAGCAGCAAATGGACTAGTGGAACGATTCCACAGACAACTCAAAAGCTCATGGATGGTACAGCCTGATGTAACTAGATGGAGTGAATTCCTACCTCTCATATTATTGAGCATACGCTCGACAATTAAGGAAGATCTACAATGTACACCTGCTCAGCTAGTTTATGGAACTAATTTAACCTTACCTGGTCAACTAGTCACGCATAAAGGCACTTCTGTATGTACAGACCCCTCCTCCTTTTGCGAAAGACTAATGAGCCACATGAATAGCATTAAGCCTGTTGCACCTCGACCAGTCTTCTTAAAAGAGCAAATTAGCAAGCATCTAAACACATGTAAATTTGTGTTTGTCCGTGTCGACTCAGTAAGACGTCCTTTACAACACCCTTATGAAGGACCTTATGAAGTAGTAGACAGGCAAGCAAAATATTTCACAATCAAGAAGAATGGGAAAAAGGAAACAGTTGCAATTGACAGGTTAAAACCCGCTTTCATAGAGTCTGAAACACATAACAGTCGAAAGCCTTCTAAAGACAACAACTGCACAACACAGCTTCCTGCGTTTCCAGCTAATTCTTCACCTACTTCTGTGAAATCGCCAACTCAAACAATGTGTGATGCTAATGTTATGGCTCCTACAAACTTAGTTCCTAATTCCACTACCTTACCTATTTCAAAAACCACTCGTACAGGAAGACAGGTACATATTCCTAAACGTTATGCTGAATTCATTACTAAATCTTCCTTCGATCATATTCTGTAATGTGAGTAAATACCCATATGCTAAGAATTACTCATGACATATTTTAACTATAAGTGTATGCGTTTTACATGACGCTCATTATTAACTGTAACGTTACCCAACTTAGTTGTATTTGATCATTTTATAATTGATCGTTTACATTGATATATACAGATATTAAAAATTTTTCCGGTAATATATCAATTTAATTAACGTTATTATAAATAACACTATTATTTTTATTATACGTTCAATTATCTTTGTTAAATTTTTTTTACATACATTAAAAATAATAAACACAAAATTTTTTTTTCTAACCACACAAAAACATTTTGTTTCATAAGTATATATACTTATTAAATTTTTTTTTTGATAACCTCTATTTATTCTTTCCTTTGTTGTGTAATAATTTTTTTTTCCCTCCAAAGCACTTAGAATTTACGTCGGGCATACCACCACCGACGCATGCCCTAGGGGGGGAGTTATATAGTGACACTTATGTCTAGTGATTTTTTGTAACAACAAATTAAAGGTCACATATTTTTCCTAGTTGTCACACTTTTTATGTAATCACACTCATATTCGATATTTATTGTTTTTCTGTATCAATGGTAAAGAAACGAATACTTTTGTTTGGTTATATATAACACTTCTTGACTACCGCGCTTCTTAAAATATAAGCGTTGTATCCGCCGTCTATTCTTCTGCTTTAACGGCCACGGCCTTTGATTGAAGATTATAATAGTATTATAACATCTTTTTAGACCATTCCACACTACGTTGGTGTTTTGGCCCGGATCATTACTGAATAATACTACTGGATCTAATCTTCCCCATTTTGCTGTTGGTGCCATCACGTGCAGAGGAATCTTTGTTAACCAAGTGAACTTATTTGTGGTTGTTATCTCAGAAAGCAGCTTACAAGTAACATTCATTTCATAACACTGTTACCATTTTGTTGCTCAATATACCTTTTTATAATTTAACTGTAATTTGTTACCTTTTGCGTTAATCATAGACACACGCTTAGGTTCGTAGTGTTAATTCTTTTGGTATATTGTTGGTAACGTTGCGAATTGTTATATTTCAACTAAGCTCTTTTGCTGAGGTCCACCACAAATCTGGTGAGCCCTTATATCTCTGTTTGGAACTGTAATTTTGAGTTCACTTATAAACATTACGGCGCTGATTTTTCTCTTGGTAGTGATTATTTTTTGTATATTTGTAATGTTTTCATCCGAGTCTGAAGACATCAGCCAGGACAACGACCGAACAGAGTTACACGCTTTAAACGTAATAAATGTACCTCCATTCAGTAGAGTAAACCCTCGTATATGGTTTGCACAGGTGGAAGTGCAGTTTCAGCGTCGTAACATTCGTTCACAACAATCGAAATACTCCTTTGTGCTTGGAATTCTACCAACTGAGGTAGCATCTGAGGTATCAGACCTCATAGACAACGTCCCTGTATCAAATGCCTACGACCAGTTGAAGCAGGCTATTATTCAACGTACCTCACTCTCGGATGAAAAGAAGCTACAACAATTGCTACATGAGTGCGAGCTAGGTGACAAGTCACCTTCCCAATTATTACGCCACATGAGGCAGTTGGCTGAACCTTTTAAGGTTGGTGATATATTTCTGAGAGAAATTTGGCTACAACGTTTACCAACAGTAGTCCGGCAAATTCTCTGCGCTTCTAACCAATCTTTAGACTTAGAGGTTCTAGCTAGCATGGCTGACAAAGTTCTAGAAGTAACGCCAAGCACAACACCCTACGTGCAGGCGATATCACAAACTTCGAGTGACACTAAAACTCCGAACATAGCTTCCTTAACAGCTGAATTAAGTGATTTACGTACACAGCACGCACGCACAGTCGCCAGTCTTGAAAACAAGCTAGATACATTACAATCAATTATTTCCAATCTCACATCTCGAAAGTCTCGCTCTAGTTTTCAGGGGACCAAGAACCGAGATAACTCAAGAACAAAGAAAAATGATAACATCTGTTGGTACCATAGAAAGTATGGTGACAAAGCTAGAAAGTGTGTTACGTCCTGTAAATTTTTCAGGTCATTTTCCTCGCCAAAAGATGTCAACCAGGCAGTAGTACCGACAAATGTTACAGGTCATGCTACTAGTCACCTTTTCCACGTTCTCGACAAAACTTCAGGCTACAAATTCTTAGTAGACACTGGAGCCGAAGTCAGTGTTATCCCAGTTACGCTAGCCAAGAAACCTATTTCTAAATGTGGAAAATATTCATTGAGAGCAGCTAATAAAACTGAAATAAAAACATTTGGAGAACAACTCTTGACATTAGATTTGGGAATTAGACGTCGACTAAACTGGGTGTTTATTATTGCTGATGTCCGTCACCCTATATTAGGTGCAGACTTTTTAAGCTCCTATAACTTATTAGTCGATGTTAAAAAACGAAAACTTATCGATTCGTGCACAAAACTCCAAGTTCATGGAATTCAGTCACACTATCATATACATAGTATTAAAATCAACACTCCAGTAAACGACATATTCGCCAATATTTTATCTAAATTTCCAAAGTTAACGAAACCAGATTACAGCGAAAACACCATCCAGCATTCTGTGGTGCATCGAATTATCACCAAAAACCAACCAGTTTCGGCACGTCCTCGTCGTTTACCACCGGACAAACTTGCAGTTGCAAAGGCCGAATTTGAGCACATGATGCGACTAGGAATAATACGTCCGTCGAGTAGCTCCTGGGCATCCCCACTCCACATGGTACCTAAGAGGGATCAGGATTGGCGACCTTGTGGTGATTATCGATCACTGAATAACTTAACTTTACCAGATCGTTACCCCATTCCCCATTTACACGATTTTTCACTTACGTTACACGGTAAACAAATTTTTTCTAAAATCGACCTTGTGCGAGCGTACCATCAAATTCCAGTAGCATCTGAAGATGTAGCGAAAACAGCCATCATTACCCCATTTGGTTTGTTTGAATTTCTGAGAATGCCATTTGGATTAAAGAACGCCGCACAGACTTTTCAACGATTTATGGATGAAGTCACTAAAGGCCTAGATTTTGTTTTCGTGTATATCGACGATGTATTAATAGCCAGTAGTTCATTTCACGAACATATTGATCACCTACATCAACTTTTCGAGAGATTTCAGAGATTCGGTATAGTCATTAACCCATCCAAATGCATTTTCGGAGTCGAAGGCTTAGAATTTTTGGGTCACTCGATTGACAAACATGGTATCAAACCCTTAGACGCAAAAATTGAAGCTATCAAAAATTTTCCAGAGCCAGACTCACTAAATAAACTTCGACGTTTCTTGGGTATGTTTAATTTTTATCGTCGGTTTATCCCTCACTGCTCAGATATTCTACAACCCCTAACGGAGGCATTAAAAGGCAAAGCCAAAAAGTTCACATTATCCTCCGAAGCGAAAGATGCCTTTACTGCTGCTAAAACAGCGATTGCTTCTACCACCATGCTGACCTACCTCAGTCCTGATCCAGAAGCAACACTAATTTTGTGTACAGACGCTTCTCAGGCAGCGGTAGGCGCGGTGCTGCAACAAAGAGTAAATAATGAAGTCAAGCCACTTGCTTTCTTTTCGAAGAAGCTAGAACCGGCCCAAACCCGATACAGCACATTTGGCAGAGAATTATTAGCTGTTTATCTAGCAGTTAAACATTTTAAACACTTACTACAAGGTAGAGATTTCGTAATCTTCACTGATCACAAACCTTTGACTTACGCTTTCAATGCCAAAAGTGATCGTTATTCTCCTAGAGAAACTCGACAGTTAGATTACATTTCTCAATTTTCTACCAACATACAGTTCATAAAAGGTGAGTCAAATGTTGTGGCAGATACTTTGTCACGTTTCGACATTGATGCTATTTGCTCCACTAAAGGAATTGATTTGTTGGACATTGCACGCTTACAGGTTGATGATCCTGATCTTGCGGCTTGTAAACAAAATTCGAGTCTAGTATTAAAAAGTATTCCAATAGCACATTCTGATTCTACTATAATTTGTGATACTTCAACTGGAATACCCAGGCCATTTGTGCCAATAGCGTACAGAAAAAAAGTTTTTGATTGTCTTCATTCATTATCTCACCCAGGAGTTCGAGCTACTGCGAGACTGATCGGAGAAAGATTTGTCTGGCCAAAAATGAACTCAAACATAAAGGAATGGACCAGAAATTGTTTACAATGCCAGCGTAGCAAAGTTCACAGACATACGATTACAACACCGTCAACATTCAATCTACCTGACCATCGTTTTCAGCATGTCCACGTTGATTTAGTTGGTCCTTTACCCCCATCTAACGGATTTACTTACATCTTTACTGCAGTGGACCGTTTTACCAGATGGCCAATAGCATGTCCAATAAGAGATATCTCAGCAGAAAATATTGCTGCCGTGTTTCTTGACAGATGGATTTCTAATTTCGGTGTACCTTCTACCGTTACTTCCGACAGAGGTTCACAATTCCAATCGCACCTCTTCAACGAATTTACGCGCATCTTGGGAATCCATCACATCACTACAACTGCATACCATCCAGCAGCAAATGGACTAGTGGAACGATTCCACAGACAACTCAAAAGCTCATGGATGGTACAGCCTGATGTAACTAGATGGAGTGAATTCCTACCTCTCATATTATTGAGCATACGCTCGACAATTAAGGAAGATCTACAATGTACACCTGCTCAGCTAGTTTATGGAACTAATTTAACCTTACCTGGTCAACTAGTCACGCATAAAGGCACTTCTGTATGTACAGACCCCTCCTCCTTTTGCGAAAGACTAATGAGCCACATGAATAGCATTAAGCCTGTTGCACCTCGACCAGTCTTCTTAAAAGAGCAAATTAGCAAGCATCTAAACACATGTAAATTTGTGTTTGTCCGTGTCGACTCAGTAAGACGTCCTTTACAACACCCTTATGAAGGACCTTATGAAGTAGTAGACAGGCAAGCAAAATATTTCACAATCAAGAAGAATGGGAAAAAGGAAACAGTTGCAATTGACAGGTTAAAACCCGCTTTCATAGAGTCTGAAACACATAACAGTCGAAAGCCTTCTAAAGACAACAACTGCACAACACAGCTTCCTGCGTTTCCAGCTAATTCTTCACCTACTTCTGTGAAATCGCCAACTCAAACAATGTGTGATGCTAATGTTATGGCTCCTACAAACTTAGTTCCTAATTCCACTACCTTACCTATTTCAAAAACCACTCGTACAGGAAGACAGGTACATATTCCTAAACGTTATGCTGAATTCATTACTAAATCTTCCTTCGATCATATTCTGTAATGTGAGTAAATACCCATATGCTAAGAATTACTCATGACATATTTTAACTATAAGTGTATGCGTTTTACATGACGCTCATTATTAACTGTAACGTTACCCAACTTAGTTGTATTTGATCATTTTATAATTGATCGTTTACATTGATATATACAGATATTAAAAATTTTTCCGGTAATATATCAATTTAATTAACGTTATTATAAATAACACTATTATTTTTATTATACGTTCAATTATCTTTGTTAAATTTTTTTTACATACATTAAAAATAATAAACACAAAATTTTTTTTTCTAACCACACAAAAACATTTTGTTTCATAAGTATATATACTTATTAAATTTTTTTTTTGATAACCTCTATTTATTCTTTCCTTTGTTGTGTAATAATTTTTTTTTCCCTCCAAAGCACTTAGAATTTACGTCGGGCATACCACCACCGACGCATGCCCTAGGGGGGGAGTTATATAGTGACACTTATGTCTAGTGATTTTTTGTAACAACAAATTAAAGGTCACATATTTTTCCTAGTTGTCACACTTTTTATGTAATCACACTCATATTCGATATTTATTGTTTTTCTGTATCAATGGTAAAGAAACGAATACTTTTGTTTGGTTATATATAACACTTCTTGACTACCGCGCTTCTTAAAATATAAGCGTTGTATCCGCCGTCTATTCTTCTGCTTTAACGGCCACGGCCTTTGATTGAAGATTATAATAGTATTATAACATCTTTTTAGACCATTCCACACTACGTTGGTGTTTTGGCCCGGATCATTACTGAATAATACTACTGGATCTAATCTTCCCCATTTTGCTGTTGGTGCCATCACGTGCAGAGGAATCTTTGTTAACCAAGTGAACTTATTTGTGGTTGTTATCTCAGAAAGCAGCTTACAAGTAACATTCATTTCATAACACTGTTACCATTTTGTTGCTCAATATACCTTTTTATAATTTAACTGTAATTTGTTACCTTTTGCGTTAATCATAGACACACGCTTAGGTTCGTAGTGTTAATTCTTTTGGTATATTGTTGGTAACGTTGCGAATTGTTATATTTCAACTAAGCTCTTTTGCTGAGGTCCACCACAAGTGAGGGTGGAGTTACTGACCAGCAAGCACTGATGGTGTGGGCGACGATTTCAATCCACCCGTGTTTATGGGGCAGAACATTTTGTTTGTATCAGGCTCTTTATGGATGAGAGCAAGTCAATAGATCTGTGATATTGAGATTGTTCACCTACACTAACCATTAAGACTCATGTTTCCAATTTTTGTGCTGGATTAACTATTCTACTAAGACAACCTTTAACATGCTAACTCGGACTTTTACATGAACACTGTGTGGCAGGCATCGGATGAGAAAAGAAAAAATAACTGACTGTAAAGGATATGGTTTCTATTTTACTTAACACTACTCTCTATATGCACTCTCTGTTCTTCCTCATTCCAATGACTTCCCTCCTTCATTGGAACCTACTCCACCTTGATAAATATAACAACTCATTGTTCTTTATTACTGCCTTCTCTCTTCAGGAGACCCTAATCGCAGTTTACTCTTGCAACATGAGCTAGTATCAATTTAATCTAATAATTTATCATACCTCCAACTGTTCCACTAATAAATGTTAAGCATTGATTATCGCTCATATCCAAATGCCTTGCTGCTCCTCGGTTTCTCTTTTATTTTTTCTCTTCAGAATCTTGCTTTGAGGGTGAAGCTATATAACTTCTGACATCTGGAAAAAGCTTGACGAACGCGCTTTCCCAAGGTCATAGCTCAAACCAGGCGCTCCACAAGCCTACTTTATAACAACTATAAACTTAAAAAGCTGCATTACATAAATACTTAGAACTACCGAAACCCTATTACACTTTTTTTCGAGATTGGATCTGGTATATAACGTGGACGCTATGCCCCTTTGGAAACTATTCTTATGAAAACACATTATATCTGAACGAATGAACTGCTATCAACTTTTATAGATTATAATTACTAAACAAGCTTGCTTGGGATGCATACTGTGAACCAGTATATGTTGTAAATTGTAGATCATGCCTGTAAAAATGGCGTGTACCTGCTAATGCAGAAATATATTATTATTATTACAAAGATAAAGATTATCATATCAAATATATGGCATAATGTTCAATGACGAATTGCAAATGCTTTTCGAATCTTTTACTTGTCTGAGTAAATCGGAACTGCTCCTATTAAAAGTCTGCTGTTTCTGAAGTGTGTAAAATGTGTCCACATTCGATAAACAAACATCATTCTGTTTCGTAACGGCATCGCGAAGACTATTATTAACACCTTCATAAGTGAAACAGATTTCTTGAGCTATCTGAAAAGTGCACGAAGGAGTTTGCGTTAGTTGCTTCTCTAGTTCAGGACTGTTTATACGAGCATTTAGACGATCACAAAATTGAGTATGCATCTGATCACTGAAATCGCACTTAGAAGCTTGTGTTTGAAGCTATAGTATTAGGTCTCTAATAGTCTGGTCTGGAGCACGAACTGATCTATCGAACAGTGTTATTTCACTTATTTCGAATGATTTTAGGTGAAAATTATCTGTCAGTAATCTCTTTAGTTTGTTGACTGTAATACCAATCAGTATACACTAAATTATAAACAGTCATTACCCAATATACAACCGGATAGACAAATATGGACCTAAAAAGAAGACCTACAATAGATCAAAGAAATCTGAATTCACATTTAAGACGTAACAGCCTTGATGTTTGTACGAACTGATAGTTCCTCTGTACTCCATTGCGCACTTATTACGAATTCTAAATACAATATAAATAGTTGTGCTCATCTTGTTCTACTTGCTTTAAATTGCACTGTTTCGGTAATCCTTAAATAATAAATCAGTTTGAAAATCTTTAATTGTCTAATTAACTCAAAGAGAATATTACGAAACACTTTTCTCTGTTGCAAGAAACAGAGAAATTGACAAGCATTTTTCATGGTGTCAACAGGATGTTCCGTCCGATGGGTCCTTCATGACATGTGTCAACTGCCAATAACTGATATATGAAGAATCATGTCAGTTGTATGATAATAAGCAAATTGTGATAAACATGTTGTGCTACGTTCATGGTATAATTAATAGGTAGTGAAAACATCCGGCGAACCAGAATCTCTCGTCGATGAGGTACTTAAATATATTACATTTGCCTTCGCACTTACTTTTGGTTAGAGGCCAGCAATAAAAAAATCAGGATTTGGTAAACTGGAGCAATAAACTTGGTTTTAACTCGTTTAATATTGGTTTTGTTTTTCATAAGTAAATATGCCTAAATGCCTTAAGTAAAGTAGTTCACACCTAGATTCCCTACAGCAAGTGCTAATACTATATAACCATGTTTTTACCGCCCGGATTCTATAGGTATCTTCCGTGTTTGTCTTCTGAATATGGTAGTCCAAAGTGGTTAGCGTCAAAATCACTCAACTCCTACCATCAAGACACATTAGTGTTTGACATGAGAATGTCGTTGCATGTAATATTAGTTGTTTCAAATGAAACTCTTCTAAGGTCTCATACTCAAGATATAGGACGAAGGTGAAAGGTTTTGCTGTCAGATGTGTTACAAGAAATGACGGTTGACTTTGAACTTCTAGATGATCAGGGACATAAAGTACACAAAGTCAAAACAAACCGGCTTTAAAGAGGTGATTCTCAACAGCATAAAACAGGAAGGCTGCTTCAGTACTAGTCAACTATCACAAATACTGCGGAGTCACAGAAAGAAGGAACCGTTTAGTCATAGCTAACAGAGAATCAACGGTTATAAAGAGATTCATGGTATAAAAAGTACTTTATAAACAAAGCTTTTTTGGTCGTGTTTAAAATATCATTACTGTTGGTCGTCAGTGTAGACGAAGTGTCGAAGGATAAGGGGTCTACTCGAGTAAGGCGAGAATGGCGTGATCAACCAGCTAACTTCAAAGTCATACCTCATAGTTGGAACATAACACGGATTACAATTGTGTCTTATCCAGGTGTTATTACACTAATGTATATGTATAAGTAGGTATAAGTAATACAGTGAGATGACCAACACATGGGCAAGTCCATAACGTGCCATAAATTCATGCGCGTTGGTTGTCCCTGATCTTGACGAGGATCAATGAACTGCTCGATATCTAGTGATCTGACTGCCGGACAATTTGGAGAGGGCCTTGCCACTTCACTGACCCAAAATTGTCAGTGTTTATAAAGCTAAATCAAGGCTATGAAATCCGAACATTAATCAGCTGTAAAACTTTATATTTACAGGACTCCAGGGGGGAATAAAACCATGATCTGCATGTCTGATCTTGTGTCATTGTTCTTCAGATTACTGGATTTATGTCTATGGCTTGCATTTCTAACTTCAGTATGTTCTAGGTCCTACGTCATTTATCACTATTAATAATTTTCGCAAGCTGGTTACAGAGTACCGTAGACCATCGTGAATAACACAGATTATGCAATATTCATTTTTTTACGACTTTTACAAAAAGTAACCGCGAAATTTCCTTGCACGTCCTCTCTTAAGACTCTAAATATAATCACAGTAGTATTTTCGATCTCTACCTTCAGGGTTCAGTAATAAGGATAGTAGGTTGATGAACCTGTGTTAATCCTGACAGATATCCTTCCAGTGAGGGTTCAGCTTCTTCTTGAAAATGTTCACTGATGGTGCTGATACCACTTGTTCTGATAAAGCGTTCCAGTCATTGACCACTCGATGAGAAAAACGGGACTCCACCTTAAGTTTATTAGATCGCGGATTCTGAACCTTCTTGCTATGACCTCGGAGATTATTAGTGCTGGAGAAAGCAAAAAGATAAGACATATTAACATGTAAATCATAATTAAAGATACTAAATGCCAGTATAAGGTCACTTAGTGTCCTACGATAAGATAAGGGGAAAAGGTTTAGACGTTTTAAACGCTCATCGTAAGGGAGTTTAGAAAGACCCTTTACTAATCTTGCCCCTCACGCTGGATACGCTAAAGCGATTTAGTATCCTTTATAAGACATGGGCTAGCTGCTTGGATACAGTATTCCAAGTGTGGCCTTACATAGGTGGGATATAAAATTCGAAACATATTCTCGTCGAAGTATTTAAATGCTTTGCGAAGCGACCATAGCGCACGATAACCTTTGGAAGTAACCGCATTGCAGTGCGTAGTGGTTTTCAAGTCGTGAATTATAGTTACTCCTAAGTCTTTGTGCTCTTGAGCACGTGGAAGAGATGTATAGTGGTAACTAATATCGTACCCGATGTGCATGAACACGCTCTTCCTGGAATTAACTTCCAAGCCCCAATCATGAGCCCACCTAAATAATTCGTCTAAATCTGCTTGTAGATAACAACGATCAGTCTCATTTCTTATTGTTCTCCAGATTTTAACATCATCCGCAAACAATAACGTCGACGACTTAAGTAATAAAGGTAGTTCATTAATATACAGAAGGAAAAGTAAAGGGCCTTGGATGAACTACTTAAAAGCGAGCATCAAAATGAAACCACTAGCTGCCAAATATATGTATAAGACGACATTGCAAAGGGTGCTGACCACTAGAAATCACAATAAAAAAGCTCAGAAATCATCAGATTTTTACAAGACCGATAGTGAAGACATTCAATTTTTTATCTATTCCAATCACCATGACAACTGGTGTTTCAGATTTATGAAATGAGCCATCGTCGGATACTACAAGGTTTGACGTAAATTAACTCTCTTTTGCAAATATAGACTTTGAGCAGTATCAAAAGTCTAGAACTAAATTTGTACAAACTGTTGCCGAGCTTGCTGTTCAGCCACAAAATATTGAAGTTTTGCAGAATTTAGGCGTATTGTCTTTACTGAGACCGCTTTTACTTGATACGGTACCCACAATTCAACAAACAGCGGCTATAGCATTAGGACGCCTGGCTAATCATCGAAAAGATTTGGCAGAAGTTATTGTCAAGGGTGATATCCTACCTCAACTTGTTTATTCTCTAGCTCAACAGAACGTATGTAGCCTAGTTCACTTCCCTTATTTTATTAGAGATTTTATAAAAGAGCAGCCGCATTTGTACTAAAGTCGATTGCCAAACACTCCGCTGAACTTTCACAAAGTATCATAGACTGTGGAGCTTTGGATGCGCTCACTGTTTGTTTGGAGGAATTCGATCCTGCTGTAAAAGAGGGCGCTGCATGTGCAATAGGATGCATAGCTAAGCACTCAGCCGAGTTGTCTCAGGCAGTTGTAGATGCAGGTGCTATTCCATTGCTCGTATTGTGCATTCAAGAGCCCGAAATAAGTCTTAAAAGAGCAACTGCATGTACACTAGCTGAAATAACAAAACATACAGCTGATCTTGCTCAATCGGTTGTTGATGCTGGAGCGATCGCTCATCTTGCACAGCTTGTACTAAATCAAGATTCACTACTTAAGGTGAGATGGATGAATTTTTTTTACTAAAAATCTCTTAGCGCCAAGTATTCGCCGCTTTGTCAACAATCGCTAAACATTCTGTGGACCTGGCGGAGCTGGTAGTTGAAGCCGAAATATTTCCAGCTGCATTGGTGTGCCTTAAGGATGTGGATGAAATTGTTAGAAAAAACTGCGGCAATCTAGTCAAGGAAATAGTCAAACATACACCGGAACTCAGCCAATTGATTGTTAACTGCGGCGGAATAGCTGCGATAGTCGACCAGATTGGGGATACCAAAGGATTCACATGTCTACCAGGTGTTATGAGTTTGGGATATATAGCTGCTCATTCCGAAACCTTAGCGATGGCTGTGGTAGTTTCAAACGTAATTTGTTACATATCTATAATACTTCCATTAGGGTGTTTTACAATTAAAATGTGTATTCATAAGGGAATCGAGCGAGGAGATACAAGCTGCCGCAGCATGGGCTCTTGGTCAAATCGGTCGCCATTCCCCTGAACATGCAAAAGCCACAGCTCAAGCTGACGTACTGCAGAACTTGTTGGAGTGCTATCTAAAGCCAAATGCTTCAGAGGATCTTAAAGCAAAGGTATCCTAGTCACTTATATTCACGTTTTCTTTTAGACCAAAAAGGCGCTGAAGCTAATAATTCAGAAGTGCATCAATTTAGAGGCACTAGAACCTTTATTGCAAAAAGCACCTCCAAGTATCTTGAAACATGCAGTTGCACAGTTTAGCAAAGTGCTGCCACATGATAGCAGAGCACGTCGATGGTTTGTGGCATCTGGAGGTCTTAAAAAAATACAGGAGCTAAAGGATGACAACGAAGGCTTGTTGTCAGAGTACATTAATGCTATAAACAACTGCTATCCAGAAGAGGTTGTACGTTATTACTCCCCAGGTTATGCCGAAACATTGATGGAGCGTGTAGAAGCATACCAAATACCAATTTGAAACCTAACTCTGAGTAGAGAAATAAAGACAGTTCAAAGACATTAACTATCATGGAGACATTTTATCTATGATTTACAAAGCAATCAACACAAACTTAAAAATAGAAGTTAGTGAGTAATGTAAAAGGATTATGAATGCCATAAAACTCTTATTATTTTATGTACTTAAAATATATCAATTAAATGAATCTGAGTTAATTACTTATTAGTCCTGAAAACGAAATGTTATGTCAAGTGATTAGTTAGTGGGATAAATCAACCCTTCTTCACCAGTGAGACAGCCATTTCACACACAACTTAGATACCTTGAAACCAAATATCTTAAGTTTAATCGTATGAAATAAGTTACAAGCCAGCAATTGTTAACAAACATAAGGTTGTTTCTCATACTAGCAGACTGCCTCTTAGTAATACCAGTATGTTATGAAATACCTGTGACATTCACTTCACTTAAAATTTCGTTACAAGTTGAGCAACGAGGTTCATATTAGACGTTATTTTATTGAAAAAAAGCAATTACATGAGCAGAGATTGACTGAATAAGTTAGCAAACGAAAACTACCACTCATCGACTACACCAGGTTAGAAATGTAACTGTAATCGAAATCGGGAATTTCACTACAGAAAAAGTCTGTGTATGTAAATGGAGCAACTCTCAAAAGAATTTTAAGTACGACACATATAGGCATTTAATTGTGATATATTTTACATGATGAAGATAAGGAATGTTAATAAACTTATTATTTTTATCAACCTCAGATGATTTCAGAAAACTAACGATGCAACGCGTTGCGTCCAGTTAGGTAGTAGTTGTGGATACTTTGCACATTTCTCAAACACCTGTCGGAGACTGACAGCCTTGCTATACTACGTCTACTCTTGGAACTACTTACTAGGTCACTCAGCGACACATGACCATTACTTATAAAACACCTATAAGTAAATACTAGTAACCGGTTTCTACCTATTTCTGAAAAAAACAATGGATTTCGAGACAGTATATTGCTTCTTCGGTTGGCAGACGAACATCTCACCTACGTCATAATTGATGTAAATTGGAAGGAGCCAAGCACGTCTTCAAAGTCCGTGCTGGTATTTAATCAGATAAAAACCTGCCAGGAGTAATGAGACATCCAAGATAAGAGAAATGATCCGCAAGCTCAGCAACTTCACTCTCCATGATCAATTTAGATGATGATAAAGATTACTCCAGAAGCCAGATTTTGCATTTACGGACTGAGAAACTCACTTAAACTATACGTAAACTGTTAGTCAGTGTTCAAAAAAACTTTGGATTATCATACAATTTTCACTAGAGAGATAAGCGAGTCTCCTGGTAGATGATTCTCTGGAAAGTTGGACGGAATTATGTAAAATTGAGGATAGTAGGTAGCTCTAATGAAAGACTGAATACTTGGTTTTTGTTGGAAAGGGATGGAAGCAAAAGAGTTGTTCCGAGTATCTGATTGTATTGCTAGAACAAATAATCTAAAGGAAATGAGGTTAGCCTATTTAAAAACACGAACTTGGATTAGATGTAAACACAAACTCAAATATAACCAAGTCTACATTAAACCTTTTAGCACCTTAACTTTGACACCACTATTCAGTTATCAAAGTGTATTTCACGTAAATATCGTTCCATTAGCCGACCTATTAACAAATAAATAATCAAACTTTTAAATGTGAGAATATGCAGTTAACTTATACAATTTCTTGCTACTATTTATCTATGGATTAAACCTAGTCACTTTGAATTATTAACAGGAAATCTAAACGCTTAGTTGACATATTTAAATGGCGTTTTTTTAACGGCATAAGGTGTAATAAGGAAGAAGAAATAATTACGCTACTGTCGTCATCCCTATTTTATTTCTCCAACTTGGAAAATATCATAAAGTACATCAAACACCAGAGTACAGAAAGATAAATTTGTGTATTTTTTAAAAAGTTTATTAGTATCAATGGAAAAATTAACCACTTTATATACACACAATAAAGTACAGCCATGTACCATAAAAATAATTTATACTAGGTAAGATATGGAGGTATTTGGGATATTATACAAATAACATATACATATTCGCAAAATATTACATTTTGAGCATAAGTGGAAGTTTTAAAAAATAAATCGGTAAAAGACAAAATATAAACATATATATAAAGAAAAAATATTAAATATCTGATATACAAACGGGATGTTTCAGTGAATCACTTAAATTATCTATCACAGAAGGATTTGAATATACTAACTGGGTTGGTATATCCCACACAAATTTTTCAGTTTTTAAGTTAAATGGAATTGTCCATACTGTACCGTAATCTCTTTTTAAACATGATTTACCTTGAAAATGATCTAACAAATCATTTTTACTATTATTATCAGATATTAAATCAAGCTCTAAGTGTAAACGCCATCGATAATCCAAGGAAATAAATGGACTAGTTAAACTAACAGAATGAAATTGTGGCGTGATATTTGTTGGAATAGGCAATGTAAAAGGTAGCAACAGTTTAGATATACAATATAATTTTATATCTGTCCATGTAGTATGTTGTGTCGAGCCTGAAATAACAAATAATACGATTGAAGAAAAAATAATTATAAATAGATAATAGCGGAGATAATATTAGGAACTATTTACCAGTACATAACATTGTAAGTTTTATGATCAACGACATAAATTCTAAAAGTTGAGATATCTGAAGCACTCTGATCTAATCTGAAATTTACAGATATCCTATTATTGAGACAGGGTTGAGTACAAAAAGAAAATTGGTTGATTTGGCCCTTATGTAACTAACGACACAGAATCAGTTGGATAGGTGAATTTATATAAGCCACGCTAAATGAAGTGGTCAGATGATTGAAAAATAAGATTCACACTTTAGCTGAAGTAAATGCTTTCTATAGAGTTATTCCTTGATATTGTATCACACTTTCTTTAACATCAACTTTAACTTTCCATTTCGAAAACAGTAATCTCTTAAAAGGTTATTATTTGAGTCATCATTTTTAGTTGCTTCATGTGATCGGTACGTCTTTCTATACACACTTTCCTATTAAACAGAATATGGATAGTATTTAGTTTATCTCCTGATACTCTTAGAGGAAATGAGATTATAATAATGTACTAAGGTTTCCGCTATATTTCTTACTATAAAGAGGTGCATAAAACTGTAAAAGGAGTATGCTTCTCAAGTTATGTTGGCTCGCTGAATACAACTGGTTTCAACGTTCTCACTACAGACATAAAAAACAGAATGTAATTGTTTTTTTCTTCTAGCGTGAGAACGATTAACACCCTAACAACTTTTAATCTTGACTAAAACTATTTGCGAAAACCCAGGAAAACTATCTGCATATCGCTGATATCAAACAGCCCGAAGTTTACTATTTTACTACCCGGTTGGAATTTCAAGGTACATATTCCCAGATTTGTTAGTACGCTATAAGTCATATTCGCTAAGCACTGACTCTGATAAACAATTGTAGTTACTTTCAATAAACCTAGCAACTCACACTTTTATTAAAACGTTTAGAAATTCACTGGTAATGATCATATTCTGCCAAGCTAGAACGAACGGTTTTATACAGCTGCTTGTCAGTACAATGATATTATGAAGGTGAACGACCGGTTGCGAACATAAATTTTAGTTTTCTATCATGCACAGTAGCTACAATGGATTAGAGCGCACAAACAAATAAAAATAAGCACAGTTTCCATAGTTGGACTTACCTAAAGGTTGAAAATTTGTACATAAAGGTTGACCGATTTTAGTTAAAGGTAGACATCCCATAGAATAATTCTGAATCTCATCGCTTCTACTTTTAATTCTACAGTCTGGCAGGAGGAAAGGATTTTCATGGTGAAGCATAAATCTTTCCTCACTTTCAAGTCGTATTACACAACTAAGACATTTAACAACAGCCTCATTAAAGTCAAAATAACCCCGTACCATATCACCTAAACAGTATAACGTACGTTGGAAAGATAACCGTCCGACATATCCACGTGGAGTAGAAATCACGAAATTAGCTAAAAAAAATACAAAATAATGTATTTGAAGAATGCAAACAGGAGGAAAATAATCTTGAAAGCAAGTGGAAAATAATCTACACAATTAATTGGTATGAAGTGTTTTGTTTTACCACTGTTGATATTTGAGACTAAAATGATTGACCGAAACATGTTTAAAACGTATTAGCTGAATGTGTTTGTGTTGCAATGTTAAAGACTTATATTTAACAGTAACAACTGTTCGTGTTGTTGATGATTCCACGTTACATTTAGTAAACCAGAAATTTAGTTGAGCCAGTTATAGTCGTTTGACCAATAAAACATCAATCATAGTTACAAAACGTATATCAAATGAATTTTATTAAAGCACGACAAAATGCTGTTTAAGTGGACAATTATTATTTTTCAAGTGTACAATAACTTTGGTATTTCCATGTGGACTATTGACAGTGGATCCAAGTTATCGATAACTACGGATGTCCTCCAAATAAGCAAAGGTTTTCTGATATGTGATAAAAATTTGCGCTTAACTGATGGAGTATAAAAATATTAAGTGAACAACAGTGACACAAACTTTGTATTCAAATATTTATCATTTAGTATGAAATTTCCGGAACGAAATCCTATAGAAAAAATTGATCAGCCATAAAGATTATGATAAAAAATCATGATTGATATTGTTCACAGGAAATACACTCACCGGGTGGTGAACATGCTAACAGATTCATTAATTCTATATGTGAACTGGGATAGATGTAAACTTTGTTTGATTTTTCTGGAGAATGATCTGAGCAGTTCGAGTTTTCACACCGGGAAACATTATGAGACAAAGCGGAATATATTTGGCCGACTGACTTAGTAGTATGTGTTTCCGTATCTTCAAACGAAAAGCTATTGATTTTGTGTGACTGAAAGGAAAAGCCTCCATCAAAGCCAAAATTAAAGCAAGAGTCTTTATTTCTGGTATCAGGAACCCAAAACGGATTTGACACGTCGGGCGAATATGCTTCTTTCTTGTCGTCACATTCTTGAAGTCTTAAACTGTGATACATTATTGCAGACGGTAAAATACGAAGAGGCAATTGAATGGTATGCGTCTTGATATCTGAGTTCAGATATTTTACTTGAACTGCCACAACCACCTTGTACGCGAACTTAAATAACGTGCCACGAATACTAGGTGAAAGATTATACGGTAGATAAGCACACAAATTGACTGTAAATTGAAAAACAAGAAATAAGAACTGTCACTAAAAAAATTGAGAATAAACAAGATTATGATAAATGTTTACATATAAACCCATAAAAATGGAGATGAGAAGTACTTCATTTTTGGTTTATTTTGTGCATTAACTTGGTTCTTTTTAGTCAACTCATTATCCTTATTTGATTTAATTATAATTATAGTCCAAATCGTCGTACATGAAAGTCATGTTTCCTTATTTAAGGAAGTGTCATTGTTTAAACTATAATACAAATCAATGTTTTTTCACTGGTAATTACAGAATGTGACAAATTCAAATGCTTCAAAGGATATACTTTCTATGAAATATATTGTCATAAGTAACTTGATTTTTTTATTTCAGAAATTTACAAACAAAGATCTGGTTCTATTAGATTATTTTACATGGAAGCGTAGTGTTTGTAAAAATTTCATGTAAAAAATTAGTGACTATATTCAGTGAAGCAATAAATATCATATAATTAACATAACATTTAGGTGTAAAATGCTTTCCAGAACATTTTCAAGAACTTATTTCCTTCATTCTATACAATTCCATCTGCAGAAGACCAGAATGTTCCAACTTTATTAAACTCGATCTACTAAAAAACAGAAATCATAATTAAAATATCCTAATGAACAAGAAAACAGAAGCGGGCTTTGGCTAATCTGCATGTATTAACTGACGGTGTGACCCAACTAATTTTTCTTACTATTTAAATGGATTTTAATCCTGAAAATTAATATATTCTTTGGAGAAGTGCTTCTTATGAAGACATGAAAAGATAGCAATGGGTTGTTTTTAACCCTATGGGTTTTACACGGTGAGCTGTAAGTTTCAAAGCAACTAGCATTTTGAAGCAGCTTGTTAGTGATAAGACCAATGATTAAATAATGATAAGATTAAAATATGATGTGAACCAGATAGTAATGTGATAAAACTGTCTATCGAAGTAAACGGATATTTTTGTACATTATACGTATAAAACAAACAGCGACAACCTTTAAGTGATGATTGCCTAATGAGTATTCCAAATAAATTTATACTGACTGGGCAGTTACTGTTTGAATTCTTATCAAACTACGAAAGCTGATTGGTATTCAGTAAAACTAACCAGACATAAGGAATCTTTAACGTAACAGGGTTTCGAGGCTGCATTTATAAAGCTAAGTTTCTGCCGGCGAATAGACTTACCAGTTATTTAGTATTTCAAATATGAGAAAAGGGTTTACAAAATGTGTGCAAAACGACAGACAATGCTACATATCATTGCCACTTGCAAAATGGAGTAAATAAACTTTTGAAACTTACCAGGTCCTTTGAGACGATTATTTGGGATAACTTTCACATGCATTGGGATGATACATATTAACTGACTTTTTGACTCCAATGTAGAAATGAACAATGATTCAGCATCGACTACATGAATTAGGAATTGAAAAAAACATTATTCAGCAAAATGTTACGAAACTTTCAAATTATTCGTGTCAATTTAACTGGTCGGTATATCAAATTCACGAGAATTTAAAAAGAAACTGGGATACTCAGAAATGTATTCGGTTGTAATTTAAAGTTTTAAACTCATCCACCATGTACTTGGGTATGAGCCACACTTTGAGGGTTAATGACACTACACTACCATTCAAATCGAAGGTGCTGGAGTGGTATTTGAATCAAGGAGTTATTGACCGAAGGTAGATAACTGATATTTGAACAGATATCTTCTGGAGTTTAAACTCAAATTTTTTCACACTTCAGATGCAACTGATAAAAAATATCGCTGAAGTACTTATACAAGAAAATCGGTAGAACAGAATTCAATTCGCGATCCAACGGCTATGAATTGACTGTGTATAACACTGAGTCACAACTTGAAAATAACAAGCTCAATAATACTCACCGTGAAAACTGCAGATGGAGTTGATGCAGTTAAAGAAAAATGAGCATTAAAGTTAACCTTCTCATTGAGGAAAATAGTGAGCGAAAAACTGTACTACTTCAAAACAAATTACCTTGGGGTTTTTTTAAAACCGTGATAATAGAGGAAATCTGATTTCCTGAAAATAAAAACTGTGTTATTCAAGTAACCAAGTACGCATTTATATACTTGTCTTTGAGTCATACTTATTGCATAAACGTTAACAACAACATTCAGGTTCTCAAACCAAAGTGCAATACAATGTAAGGAAAATATTTAAGAATTGTCGATACTCTCATTCATAAACGTCCTCCAAATCCATTGTCATTAGTCTGCTCATCGATTAGTAAAAAATGTGTCAAGAACACAGCTTGTTTGAATAACGGTGTTTTGTCACGAAATGAACTAAATATTTCTCATTGCATGATATTTTACAGTTTATTTATATCTGTATAATACAGTATGTTCAACCTAGAAGTAGAGTGATTACTGGCGCTTTTATCAGCAGAAAAACTGGTGTATTGTATGTCATAACCGAAATAAATCTAATCACTAGTTCCGTGTGATTAGTGAGCAACTATTTTTTGTTTCGAGTTTTATTTCAGATTTTTTGAGGAGTTTTACTATTGTTCACACTACTTTTTCCAGATTTATTTATTTATTCTCCTAATACTTTTAATTATGAGGATCTGATCCGACAACAGAATACCAGATAAATTATGTCGACCTGTAAGTGATGGAATACAATATTGGTAGAAAAAACATTCCCTTTTTATTAGTAAGTGGTAGTTTATGTGACAGTTAATCAGTACACTTTTATGGCTGTATAATAAAAACGAATTTCAATTATGGAAAAATATACATACAGTTTAGTTCACAATCATATTTCCACTCAGAAGTACTAAATGACAAGGATTTCGGGGACGCCTGGTTCTGTGTAGATAGTTGATTATTATCCAACTTACATTGACCAATGATACAGCCAACAATACCAGTAAGTGACCTTCAGAAGAGAGAAGCATATAAGTGAAAATCAGTAAGGATAATTCTAAAAATTGAGATATTATACGGTAGCATCCAAACACCTTGGTAAAGGATATTTGCAATGAAATTAAATTAGGTACGGCAAATAACTTGATACGAAAGCCCAAGAAGCAATGTGTTGAAAAACACAATGCCAGACTGAATTCATGAAGAAAAATAACACTTGATAACGGAAAAGACAAAAAACCTAGAACAAAACCGGTCACAAAGATAATCGTATATATCAGATCAAATAAATTAGACTTCCCCATATCTTCAGACTTTTGTTTCATCTCGTACAACTAAACAAGATGGATTGGTTACCGGAGAACACAAAAACAGCAAAATACATTTAGAAAGATAGAAAAAACAAACCATTTATATTCCTCTTTAACTGCATCCCAATTGCCAGGAAAAGTTATTTCACAATTGACGAAATCTCCACCCGAATATACGCTAGACCCGACCAGCTTGGCAGCTAAACCGAGATTTTGTTCGTGAGATGTTGATGACATTTATTAGCGTACGAATCCCTTAAAATGACAAAATATTGGCATCCAGATGAAAATAACCTGGAAGATAAAACAATGTTAGAGGAAAATTACTCTTCCAATACAAATCAATAGCGTCAAGATTCAATTAATAACAAACTTAGGAATATGGATTTGATTACGTTTTAAAATCCGCATTGTAAACCAGTAAAGCTTTCGCACACCATATTGCCGAATGAAATGATGGTGGGAATATAATATATGGAAGACTTGTTAAAGAAACCGGTATTAAGAACCCTGCCCCCAAATGCCCTGGTACGGCCGACAGTGGGGAGAGTCTGCTCTCCCTCTCGAAATGCTCTCATATGGCCACGCGAATATATAGCCTCTGACAGGGAAGTCCTACTCACTGCCTTCTCGTGGCGGGGGTGTTGTTCACAAAAGTGAGAGGACGAAAAGCGAATATCCGGCACTTTAACCGGGTTGGTGGACACTCTCCGTGTCCACCTAGGGGAGTTGGAAAACCCTGATTCCAAACCAATGGTGCACATGGGCTCCAGGATCCTAAAGGAACGAATGGCGTATGAACCGACTGTTGGTCACCGGCTACTATGGGACTGCATCTCCTTACGATGCTCCACTGCCTTGTGGACTAGACCTTTAGGTCAAAGGCTCCGGGTGTGGCCCCCTAAGAAAACCACCTGCTTCAGTCTGGGCACATGGGCAGTATCACAGCCCTCACACAAATCGAATGAGATTTGTGAGGCGCATATGTATCTGGTGCTTCCTTGTACCAATATTTATGTTTAAATAAATATAAATAAATAAATTAGGAACCCAACTATCAGCGAAACTATCTCAGATAAAAATAGACATATAATTCATTCTCAATCCAGAAGATTGGATCGATGGGCGGAACACTTTAGAGATTAGTTCAACTGGCCTTCAGCCACACTTCAATTACCCACGATCCCCAGTCGTTCTGAATGGAAAATTGACGTAAGTCCTCCAACCCTCTGCGAAGTTGAAAAAGCTATAGGAAATCTGAAGCGAGGGAGAGCCGCAGGCCCTGACAGGTTGACCCCTGAGATTTTTAAGGATGGTGGTCCAGTACTAGCAGCGAGATTCGCTGAGGTAGAATCTGGGAACTGGACGTAATTCCATCTAACTGGTCCCAATCACTGATTGTGCCAGTCTATAAGAGGACAAAAGTCCTCTTGTGACAATTACAGAGGGATTATCACAAGGGGGTTAGTTTGACTAATATAGTGTCTAAAATATTAGCTTTAATAATACTTAGACGCCTAACCAAAGCTCGTGAAGAGCAGACTAAAGAAAACCAGGCTGATTTTCGACCTGGACGTGGTTGTATAGACCAGATATTCACTCTATGTCAGGTCCTATAACATAGACACACATTCAGACGCCCCACAATCGTAGTATTTCTTGACCTTAAGGCGGCATTTGACTCCGTTGATCATGAGGTTTCTGGCAGTGTTTGTCACTATTATGTCTTGTGGCCGAGTGGATACCTAGTTGATGCGTGGCGCGATAAGACCGTCAAACAGGGAGCAGCGAATTATCGATTGGAACAGTGACACAGAACCCGTACGAGCAGACTAGAGTGCTAACCGGTCCTGCGATCTGCCTAGCCCAACCAGTTAAGTCCAAAACACCGATAACAGCCTCAGTGGTATGAATCATTTTATTTCAAACATACTGAGTTTATATACCAACCAAACAGACTGACTATATCGACCCATAAAATAGATAATAACATTTGTACAATATTTAGCCGAATGTGGGTGTGAATAGTGATCAATAAACTGATGATAACTCAAGGATCGTATAATAATAGTTCAAAGGTCAAAATAAAGTTAATGATAAGAGGAACAATGAATATGATTTGGTTAGTTATTTAACAATTATACAATAGGCAATATACATATTACATTGACCAATAAATAATCCTTAAAAGTTACTACTCGCAATTCTCTTCGAGATACAACAGTCACTGAAAGGAGTACCAAAGAAGTACATTAACCTCATAAAGGCTCTCTACTCGAACACAAATGGTCAAGTTAGAGCCTATGGCGAGCTGTCATCAGAAGTGGTTACCTCAAGTGGTGCTCGTCAGGGCTGTCCACTCTCCCCATTCTTGTTTAACTTTGTCGTTGTCATGCTTCTAGAGATTACACTTTCATTATTTCAATCTCCAAGAGTTGAACTTTTACCGGATGGCTCACTTGTTGACTTAGAATACACCGACGACATAGTTCTATTTGGTGAAGACGCTGACAAAATGCAGTCTTCTGACCACTATAAGCAACAAAGCAGGCATGTTCTGGATGCGATTCTCTCCCTCGAAGTGTAAAATGTGACTTCAGGATTGGGTTGCAGCGACACCTGAACTAATGATAGGGAGTGAAGTAGTTGAGCGTGTTGACCGCTTCACTTATCTTGGGAGTCTCATCAGCCCTTGTGGTCTGGTGTGTGACAAAATCTCGGCACGGATACAGAAGGCTCGGCTAGCTTTCGCCAACTTGCGTCATTTATGGCGTAGGTGGGTATACATCTACCAACCAATAGACGGGTTTACTGTGCAGCAGTTCGTTCCGTCCTACTTTATGCTAGTGAAACATGGCCGATAAGAGTAGAGAACACTCGTAGGCTACTAGTACTCGATCATAGATGTCTTCGAAGCATTGCTCGTATATACTGGGAGCATCGAGTAAGTAATGCAGTTGTTAGGAAACGGGTACTAGGTAATGATGGCAAATCCATTGATGAAGTAGTGAAACTTCATCAGTTGAGATGGCTGGGACACGTTTTACGTATGCCCAACCACCGACTGCCCCGATGTGCAATGTTCCATGGTGTAGGAGTAGGTTGGAAGAAAGCTAGGGATGGCCAGACCAAAACGTGGCAAAAATCCGTGAAGTCACTAACAATTGGACTGGGTCATGTTGGTAGGTGTAGACTACCTGGTTGGGATTCGCGAGATGATAGCAACCGATGGTTAGAGACCTTGAATGACATGGTTCAAAATCGTTTGCAATGGAGAAGCGGTTGCATTAAACTATACTGCCGAGCCAATCAGAAGCTTTCGCGGGTTTTCAAGGTCGCGACGCTAAGTTCTGTACCTGATGCTTACGTACGGTCGGTTTACAGCGGATTTTAGGGAAGACGTGATTATAGCGTCTACAATAGAAGTGATCATAAGATTTTGGCGCGAAATTCAATTATCCATTTGGATAAATAGAGTTTTGGCATTATAGCTGATGTCAATTCGTGATGAAAACCCTAAGTATAATTCCTAGCCTTAATCATGAACTGTAAATCATAATTTAAATTCTTCACACAAGTTTATAACCCTCATTTAGTCTTAGTTATTATGTTGACACTCTCAGAGTCACTCTAGCGTCGCTCAAAGGTTGTCCATAACTTATAGTCTCACCTATAACCCGAAATCCTACACCTAAACCTTAACTCTTACCCTAACCCGTAAACCATACCAATATACTAACATTATTGAAGCTATGTGGTCGAGGCTAAAAGAATTTTTGAGACCTTATCATGGTTTCAGAGGTCGACTACTATGGAGCCATATGGATGTGTTCCTGTACCGTATGCACTATGATTTTAGAACTTCTGAACCTATATCTGACCTTGAGAAGTTTTTAACCCACGTAAAAGAAGTGTTTCCACTTTAATTCTTTGGTTTTGTATAATATATTTTTACTGTATACTAACTGTCTTCTGATTGGCTAATATTTCTCAAGGTCATTTAAGATTCAGAACAACATATATAAGCGAACAATATTGTTTTCGATTAGATCCTCATCAGGCTATACTCTAATATACAGTAATATTTATATGCATATACGAAATTATTAAACCAATCAAGGCAGTTTATGAGTCAATGATAACAGTGGAATAGATTACATAATCAAAATTAAAAATAAGTAGAAAGTACAAATTGGTAATGTAATGACAGGTGTACTAGTTGTGATAAGAATAATAAAAGGCTTGAATCAATGTTACATAATAGGAAAATAGGTCAATGATTAGAAAATATAGACACTGAAATAACAATCATAGAAATTATAAGATTACGTAATAAGAAGTGTTCAGATAATTGGAAGCGAATATTAGAAAAATTATAAGTAAATAATTGATAGGAGGGGGTGAAGAAAAATAAACGAAGAAAGAGTATGGAAAATAAGATTATTTATTAAGGCCAAGGGAGGGATAAGGGTGTTACAAATTTCTTATGAACACAAAGACTTGGGTTGTTGGATCGAATCCCTATAGCTTCTGCTATGTGTAGGAGACGAGATCGAACCCCATAAGGAAAAGTAGTAGGAATACGATAAATAACTTTAAAAGACTGGTTTCTGTCAACTTCATGACCGCTATCAATCAAGTGTGAAAGAATCGAGCTCCGTATCGACTTGACCATACCTTTTCCTAACCACGAAGGGAGGTGTTCACTAACTCTTTGGTTCAATTGTCTGGTAGTGCGCCCAATATAGCTTTCTCCACAGGAGCAGCTGAATTTATAGATACACATAGAAGTGGCATAACCAGGCAACTTGTCCTTTAGTTGGGGAATCACCATAGATCGTGTCGAGTAAGACAGAAAGAGGTCGGCAGCATTAAACGTTCTCTTAACTGCTTTAGTCAGTCTATCCCGTAGTACATCATCAGCTGAATCGCCGTTGAATTGTAGTTTGTGGTTTCTTCGCAGCTGTTGATGTCTTTACTTTCTTATTTGTTGAATGTAAATGTTTCTTCAGGAATCCTAGTGGATAACCCCTTTCAATCAACATATTATGGATAACCTCTAACTCATTGTTGATAGAATCGACTGAGCAAATCTTCCTAGCTCTATTTGCCAGACATTTGACTAAGTTCCTTTTATAGTAGATAGGTACGAAGTTTAAGAAGTGTGTGTACTGGCTAGATGAAGAGCTTTTCCTAAACACACTTCTACTGATGGAGCCGTTCGCTTTTTTTATTAACAATACGTCAAGGAAATTTAATTTATTATCTATTTCTTCTTCACATGTGAATTTAATAGCTTGGTGTTTATTGTTAAACTGTTCGAGTAGTTCGACTTTGCCAATGTCCTGATCCACAATAATAAAAGTGTCACCAACGTACCGACAATAGAAGTCAAGCTTGTTGATAACCTCTTTGAGGGGTCCATTCTCTAGTTTCGCAAGAAAAAAGTCCGCTAGGATAGGACCTAGAGGTGAACCCATCGCTATACCATCAATTTGTCTATAATATGTATTATTAAAGACAAAATGAACATTCATTGTACATTTCAAAAGTAACTCTTTAAGACTGACCCCAGGAATTCCGACATTGATTTGTTTTTCATGCAATTGTTGACACACAAAATCAATAGTCTCAGTTAGTGGAACGTTGGTGAACAGGGAAGCAACATCTAAAGATATCATCCGTTTACCACTTAAGTTCATATGCTCAACCTTCGAAATGAAATCAAAAACGTCTTTCACGCTTTTGTTGACGACTAGTTTGTGTAAGGGTTCCAGGATTTGAACTAGCCACTTTGCAGTTTTATGGTAGGGTGAATTATACATGTCTAAAACTGGACGAAGCGGAAGACCTACCTTGTGAACTTTGGGTAGACCATATAGTCGTGGTGTGTTCGATCCGGTAGATTCGCTCAAAGGTCGGCAGTATAGTTTAATCCTACCGGAGAAGGTGCATTCACTCTTTGTGTTCCACCAAATTCTAACCTTTTGAATTCTTTATGTCCCTATCCTTTTTCTCTTTCCAAATTTATTTCACTGGATTATACTCTCTAAATAACATCTTCAAACCCTAATCTTTCACATGATGCTCATACTTTTACTACTTCTAGCACTATAGGATTTGAATCGACAACTTCATCTCGGTGCTAATGTGGTATGGCAACTCGAACTGATGTACGTACGTACGAAGTTCTACGTTGTGACTGACTGCAGCGTAATTAAAACCATTATAAAACCCCGTGAAAAAAATGACATACTCAGTGGATGCATGAAATGCACCTGTAATAAAACAGGCAAGTAATAAGACAGAACAGAAGCAATATACAACCAATGCTGGAATTTAACAAGTGTGTAATGAGTAACTCCTGTAGTTAGCTGGGATTGCCGTTGGAGTATATTCTGTGAAGATGTGTATAAATTCACAACTCAACTACTAACTGCAACTGCGAAAAACAAGTTTATGTATCCAAACAATTAGTCAACTAATTACTTTAAATCATAAGTCGTCCCTATTTCACTGTGTTACTAATGTTACAAAGAATCTTTTCAAACGTACTGTGGCAACGTACAAAAAGTCAGATACTTTCAAAGTCGCCCGCCGTTCCGCTCCAACGACCTTGAATGGCCTAACGAGAGGCCATCACTCCGTATTTCAATTGCTGAGAGTTTCACGAATATCACGTTTTCTCATATGTTAGTGTCTTTAGCTGCAACAAAATTACAAAATCATTGCCAACAACATTGATTTAGCTCTCTCTGTTTTGTAGTGCGAGCGTTGGACCAATAATATCCCATTCTCCCGATTTTGGGGACAGTTTTGGTCAGGGGCGTCCTGTTTTGTTTATCTAGAGGCGAAAAGAATCGCGAGCAGATGTAAACAGGATTGTGGATAAATTGTGAAGATACCACAGGTATTGTAGTTTGACAACACTTAAACAGTAACACTTTGTATAATTGAATCGCGCCCATTTAGTGAAATCAAAAGTCAGAAGCTAGGAGGTTGGAAGATATATTTGATGGGTTATCAATATATAGAGAAGTGACTGATCTAATCTGGCCAATGATCGTAGTAGATGCTCCCCACGCCGTTCCGTTACGTGATGTGGCACCGATGCATGACCACACGCCTTCAGCTAAACGAGTCCTCTAAAAGATGTTTGTGAATAACAAAAATGATAATAATAATAATAATAATAATAATAATGTGGTCAGCATCCAGTGTCGAACACTTACTGAGCTATTGGTTTTGGAGAATCATTTACAGCTACAGCTTTTTTGGCAAAATGTTGTCTGGATTCTTATGTGCGATAGTCGTTTAAATGTTCTAGAAATCTTGCTCTTCTTGCAGAACGCGTTGTTTATAAATTTGTTTTCAGATATTGCCGAAGTATCAACGCGCTTGTTGGCTGCCATTCTTACCGACTATATAGTATTTAGGTTCACTCTGAAGAACTTTGAAGGGTCCTTCTTATGCTGCCTGGAGAGATTTTCGATGTGAGTCTCGACGTTCGAAGGCATGTGTACTATGTCGTAAGTCAGGTTGAACCAAAACACCAGTTGATTGCGGTCGAGCGGAAGCAGGTTTAACAGAACGCATTGCGTTTGTAAGCCTGCTCGAGTGCGATGTTAGATCCATGTTCATTGAAGAAAATGAAGGATCCACGAATTCTCCCGGGAGTCGAAGTGTCGTTCCATAAACAAGTTGGGGTGCAGTGTATCCAATGTCAGCTTTCATAGCATAGCGAATACCTAGTAAGACAAGTAGATGAGCGTCGGTCCACTGTGAAACGCTTGCAGTTGATAGTGAAGCTTTTAGTTGTCGGTGAAAGCGTTCTACCAACCTGTTTGCTTGTGGGTGGTAGGCTGTCGTTCGGAAGCGAGAGATTCCTAATAGTGTGGTCAGACAACGGGAAAGTCCAGATTGGAACTAGCGTCCACGGTCTGTAGTGACAGCTGAAGTGCAGTTGAAGTTCGCTAGCCATCGTTCGATGAAGTTGCAAGCCACTGTTTCAGCAGTAATGTCCCTAATAGGTACTGCTTCTGGCCATCGAGTGAAACGGTCTATGCATGTTAAGAGATATGAGTATCCGTTTGAATCGGGTAAGGGTCCTACCAAATCTAGATGAACGTGATTGAAACGAGCGTCAGGGGTTTTGAAAGGGCCTAAGGGACATTTGTTGTGTCTTATGACCTTAGATTTTTGGCAGCTTACACAGGAGCGTGCCCACTCCCTCACGTCTCTATTCATATCAGGCCAGCAAAAGCATTCGGCTATACGTTTGACTGTTGGACGATCCCTACCTGTAGATGTGTAGCAAAGTTAGGTTTCCTTACCTGTTCCCATCTGCTTAATACTTAGTTTAAGAGTTGTCGAGGATAACTCATGCTAAAGATCAATGTCTTCTTTTTGAAGCTGAGCGAGTTTAAGAAGGTCGATTCCTTGGAAACTGTTCAAGGAACTTATTCAAGACAAGGCGTCTGCGACTACATTGTTAGCTCCAGAAATGTGTTGTATATCTGAAGTAAACTGCGAAATGTAGTCCAGTTGTCGAGACTCTCGCGGTGAGTACTTGCCTGAAGATGTACTTAAAGAGAAAGTGAGGAGTTTATGATCGGTAAAAAGTGTGAATTCTCTTCCTTTGACGGAATGTTGGAAATGCCGTACAGCACAATATATAGCTAGGAGTTCCTTACCGAACATGCTGTATCTGGTTTCAATGTCTAGAAACCATCTCGAGAAAAATCCTGAAGGTCGCCAGGATTGGCTAACTCATTGTTGTAAGACTCCTCCGATTGCTGAGTCGGATGCGTCCAAGGCGATGCTAATGGGCGCTTCAGTGTCCTGATATGCGAGTAAGGTTGCTTTTGTGATGAGTTCCTTAATTTTGGAGAATGTTTTTCGCGCGTTGTCGTCATGATTAATTAATTTCGAATTTCTATGGAGTTGGTGCGTAAGCGGTTTCATAAGGGACGCACATTTCGGTATGAATCGTCTATAGCAACTTACAAGACCGTCAAAAGTGCGCAACTGCTTAATCGTGGTCGGTTCTAGGTAATCCAGAATGGTTGCTATTTCGCTTCAAAGAGGTCGGATGCCTTGAGCACCAATAGTGTGTCCCAGGAAATCTAAGGAGTCGGTTCCGTTTTGGTATTTCCGAGTGTTTACAGTAATGCCATGCTTCACAGTTGTTGGAACACAATGTTCGGATGCTGGAAGTTGGATTCTCTGTCCGGCCTTGCTATCAAGCAGTCATCAACATACGCATTTTTGAAGTTGAGACCTCGGAAAACGTCATCTATGAACCTTTGAAAGTTTTGAGCAGCATTCCTTAGGACGAAAGGCGTTCGTTAAAGTTCATAGAGTCCGAACTGAGTTATGATAGAGGTTTTCAAGATATCGTCATAAGCCATAGGGATTTGGTTATAAGCTTTAACCAAGTCGATTTTCGAAATGACAATTGTGCCTTTCAAGGTACCTGTCAAATCGTGAATGTGAAGCAACAGGTAACTACCGGGAATGGATTTTGCATTCAAACGCCGATAGTCACCAGTTGGACGCCAATCGTTGCTGTCCTTTTTAGGGACCATGTGCAAAAGAAGATGCCCATGGGCTATTTGACGGTCGAATGATTTCTAATTCTATCATGTGGTTGGTCAACCCCAGCTTTTCGGGAAACACTCGGTGTGCTTTCGAGAATACAAGTGATCCTTTAGTCGCGATATGATGTGTAACTTTGCTGGTTACACATGGCAATTTCGGTTGTGATTGGTGTATCTCATCTGTATCACATCTGTGATGTATAACGGACGGCTATGTTCGCCGGGAGTTATTTACCGCTACATGGTACTTACTTGTGAAGTCTGAAAACAGATGGCACTGAAGATCATATCCCTTAACAACGAGAACAACGAAACGGGAATAAGGTTTTTCTATCCGGAAAGTGTTTTTATAAAAAATAGAAGTATTCAAACCGATTTGCCACCTACGAATTCTCGAAATATTGCTATTCAAAGCAGCTAAAACAAGATGAGCACAACTGCCTGTATCATACTTGAAATTCATTTGGAGCGTGCATTCAAGTACAGAAGAACCATCAGTTCGTAAAAATGCCACAACTTTTCATTTTTGTAAAGTGAAAGACATTGACATTGACAACTATAAAAACATTTAAATACGCCACAAGGCATAACATGATATCAACTACGTCATAATATTTTAACTGTTCTAGTTATCTGATCCACTTACACTTCATGAGTGTAGGCTTGTTAGACAAATACAGTTCAAGTTTTCATTTATCAGAGTTTTGATAATTTTCGAAAGAGCTCATCATATGAGTGAACAGAAAAATTACATCTAAGTACGGAAATTTATATAAATAAGAACGCAGTACTATTAGGCTTCTAGGAATAGTTTCGTACGTAGTATCTTTTCAGATAACGATGCAGACTTCTACTGACTTAAAGCTTTTGAAACTGTGGCAGTGTCGGAATTTTATTATTAGATGTTAACAGATGTCTGTATTCTGCCAATAAACTAACTGAAAACCGGTGTGAATGTAACTGAAATTTCAAAGAGGAGGGCTTACATTAATCAAGATTGTAGAAAGCATTGACTGTTTTATATGATTCGGTTGTAATTATTACCAAATTTTAGTAAAATAAATACGATCGAGTAAAAATCTGCTCGTTTAAAACTCATTTCAGTGTACAATATTCACTACCATGTTTTAAAATCTCATTTAATTTAAAAAGTGTTATCTCTTACTGACAGAATGTTTATGAATGCTATGTATAGTGCTTGTGGATCACCAACGTTGATGATCTATCGTCGAAATGATTGGGGCCTACTATAGTTAGACGAGAATGGTGACGAATCAACTAACGCTGAAGTCACACCTCGCGACCGGCTCTTACGTGGTCTGAACCATCGACGCATCAAAGGATCATGGACGCTATGGAGACTGTACAACACAAAGGACGTTATTACAAAGATATATTAGTTAAGGTACAACCACTAAAGTACAGAAAGGAAAGAACACCCACTGCCGCGTGTGCCAGTCCATGGCATATACTTGATTGATGCGCGTTGACTATCCTTGACCTTGACAGGGATCAATGATCTGTTCGAAATTCAGTGACCCTAAAATACTCCCCCACCAGATTCAACGACCGTTTGAATCGATACCAAACATGTTGGGAGTAGTCGCGCGCCGGAGGTTGCCAGACGATTAATATGAATCCTCCGGGTATTGCCGAGCTGTAAAAGAAATGGAAAGGAGGCTGCAGAAACTGATCGGGAAACAACGAGTAATAACACGTAACAAGGACGTTGGTTGAATGTAAAGCGATCAACCATAGAAATAATAGTAAAAGAAACATTTTGGAGTTTTGTCAAGTCGCGTTGAAAATTATAGCTATGACAAGTGGTTGAGTTCCTCAGATGAGAAACGTTAAGTTTGCCGCAAGAGTAGCAATGTCACAGTGATAGTAAGATAAGTGTATTATCAATCGATGCCGATGTTTGTACTGCCCTCGGTACAAAGTAGAAAGTCAGTGAGTGTCGTTGACAACTGTTCGTAAGCGTCGATTTCTAGTTATATCTATATTTAACAGACTAACTGTAAGTACAGAAGTATAACCATGAAGATAAGTCGTGGTTTCCTTGCGCGAAGCTTCTGATCAACTTGCAGTCAGTTTGGAAAAACTGATAACTGCTGTGAAAATCAATAAGGGTCGAGGAATACAGAGCGAGATTGAAAGGTGGCACGATGAAATCTCTTAAAGATGATGAACGGTGAGTGCTGCACATGTGTTTGATGAGTGAACCGAAAAATGTCGAAAAGAACATAAGAAGTCAAGAGTGTCACTCTGGACTCATGTCAATGATATCGGTGAAAAATGCTGTCAGTGTTGGGGTCGAGACGACAATATCGTTGTCAGTTTGCAGGAGATGCGCTCGACTGCGTAAACCGATGATTCGCGTGAATGAGTGCCGTCAAACCACCAATTGAACTGGACAGGCTTTAGATCGTCGAGTAGTTGAACAGCCGATTGATGTACCGAAATCATCTGTTAGATAACAGCCACGCGGAAACAATACTTCATAATATGAAAAAATACGACGTCGAATTTGAATAACTACAATAGTTCGGATGTGTTGTAATGTCACATCGAAGTAATATCATTTCGTATACTGACAATTGTATTGAACGTTCGTTTGGGCATTGTTTATGTAGCAATTGGATGTGCAGCAGCAAACATATACGAAGACTATCGTGAGGTTCCTGGATAATTTCAGAGGACGTTTAGATATTTTCCAAACCCGTATTGCATGTGAATAAGCCGAAGACGGAATTAAAGAGACTTTCGTGCAATAAGGAAATCGAGCCATGATTTACTGTGTGAGATAACAGCAAATACAAAGCGCATAGTAAACATTAATTAAAATGGTAACCACCAATGTAACTAAAGTTTAGGTTTAGATAACGTGATCGTTTCGTTAAAAGCATATTATCTAGCGCTAAGTGACATCAAGTACGACGAAGTGTCTCATTAAGACATGGACTAAGATTGCTCGTGTACATGAAATACGTTTTTCTACAGCATGACTTACGAGTCATAAATGTACATGGTTTCGGCTGAAACTTTACGGCAGTGACAGAATATATGATTACTTTACGTGAAAATAGTCGCGAAATGTTACTAGTCATCATAAACATTATACGTAATTATATAATGCAGTTATAAAACTCGCCTGGGTTACTCTTGCTCCAAAGTAATTGAAATTTGTTGATTGAATTCGTAGATTAATGAAGCGTTGTAGACTGAATTGGTATACGTCCAAATTTAATTTGAGCCAAAACTTAGCATTGCCTGGCGAAACAGTCTAAACAAGATCGTAAATTTCTAGCATTTGTATCCTCTGATTCGCCATGGAACTCAGCAATTGGAAATTAGGCAGGCAGTGGTCAAGAAAGTAAAATATTCTAGTAGATAGTTTCTGATAGTAGTTAGTTAATAGTGATTAAGCAGAAAGATGAATTTATTATCGACAGTTAATCCTGTATTGGTTATACAAGTGGATAAGTTGCAAATTGATATGCGTTCGTATTGCCTTGAGGCTATACTTACGTGTGGTTGATATTTTAACAGACATACTACACAGGAGCATTTACATGCTGCTAATGCTTGTTAAAGAACCACGATATTCGATTGTAGTCGTAGTTCATTGGTTAGTTCTATCGATTGAACTAATTATTTCAGTTGAAATACTAATCAACATTGATATGAAGCAACGAATGTTCACAGAAAACTGACAAAGATAGCCGAAGTTAAAAATGAAAAATAATAAGTATAGAATGCAATAAAAAAGATCATAATGATAGGTTGCGTTATTCGAAGTCTTGCTCACCAGTGTGGATCATCAACGTTGATGATCTATCGTCGAAATGATTAAGGCCTACTATAGTTAGACGAGAATGGTGACGAATCAACTAACGCTGAAGTCACACCTCGCGACCGGCTCTTACGTGGTCTGAACCATCGACGCATCAAAGGATCATGGACGCTATGGAGACTGTACAACACAAAGGACGTTATTACAAAGATATATTAGTTAAGGTACAACCACTAAAGTACAGAAAGGAAAGAACATCCACTGCCGCGTGTGCCAGTCCATGGCATATACTTGATTGATGCGCGTTGATTATCCTTGACCTTGACAGGGATCAATGATCTGTTCGATATTCAGTGACCCTACATGCTTATTTCGGACAGTGTTGAATAGTTCTATCAAAAAGGCTATGAGGAAAGAACCATTACTAAGTACCTTTCAATTATTACTGATATTCAACAAATTGTTAATAATATAAAACAAAAATGAAACAGTAATTCAGTGCCCTATATTTAGTTTTGAGATGATCGTTTGTAAGCTTCAGCATTAGGACTCTGACTTCCATTAATTACTAGCAATTAGTATAACTTACTTTGAAGAATTATTAGTACTGACAGAAATTTAAATTAACATTTAAAAAACAGCTAGAGGAGATACTTCTCGCTGAGGTATACATTCATGCCTATTCAAAGGGATATAAAAACATCTATCAGATGTAGTAGATGATATAATTAAATTGCAAGTTTTTAGTTTCGAGTGTTTAACTGACATTTTGATACAGTTCGTTTAAATTTTAATATACGGAATAATTTGTAAACTCTAATTAATCTTAACAATACTTTGTTGTTTGTTTGCTTTGTCTCATCTAAATTATCATATCCTAGTAACTGTTATTTGATAATAAGAACAGATTACAAACTCACTATTCACTCAACTATGTTAAATTAGGAGCTTCATAACTTAAGCACATTAACATGTTGGTAAAGAGTTTACGAAAAATATATTCCATACGAAAACCTAAGCTTACTAATATAGAACATCTGTTTTCTATATTAAGAAGATAAGTTCCAAAAATGAAGAAATTATCGAGTGTTCTACAGAACTCGCATAGATTACTGGATTAAAATAACAACGAACAAGCACTAATAAATCTAGAGTTCGTTTAGTTCGAATATGCTTTGATAATTAATTCGTCAAATGAAAATATAATTCAGTAATTTCTCTGAATAAAACATAAGAGAAATTCATTAATTAACTTCCAGAGTCAGTTTGTCCAAAATCTCTGATCAATATGACAAAATGTCTTTTACACTTTTACATATTTTGTTTAACTTAATAATTCAGTAGAAAGAAGTTTAAAAAATTGGAAATCTTATACAAATACCAAAATGTCATAGCTTTTAATCATGAATTTCATAATTAAACGATGTATAATATGCAGAATATAGATCACTCATTAAATATTCATGAAATGATGTCATTTAATCATAGGAAACGTGCTAATGAGCTGTCGTTCTGAAAGCAACATAGTTTTCTAGTACTTAACTATTTAGAAGCTATACGCTATCTTCCATTTAAAACTGTCTAAACCTTGGTAAACAGACCACTAAATTATTGATATTACAAGTAAAATTTCACTTTTCCAATCCGCAAATACTTGCTGAAAAACCTATTTGACTCTATGGAAATTTCTCTTTTCTAGTCTTAACTCAATAACATTGAAATTCAAATACCTTTAGAAAGAGTTTCTAATTTAAATTTTTCGACTCATAATTGGATTGTAGGTAGATGAACAATTTAGTAATTTCATGATATATGAGATATGTTTACTTTAGGAAGCTCACCAATAAATACAATTGAGCAATAAATGTAGATTTAAACTGTTTGATTGGTAATCTGAAGGTCATATTGTGTTTCTGATCATGTTGAACTTTTTGATTGGATACAAGTCTTATAATAATATTAATAACAATAATGGTAATGTTTATTGTCGAAGTAGAAGTACGCAATAACAATGGACAAAATTTGAATGATTTAACGGAATAATACTTTAAATTTTTTCTTCTAGAAAAATCTTGTAAGTACTTCTTTCAACATATATTTCATTGTATTTTTTATTACTATTCATATCTACTTATGATGTCAAAGAAAAGTATTGATTGAGCATTAACCATTCTTGAATAATGTCTTACTTTTACTTACTTACTTTGCTTTCGCCTGTTACTCCCAATGGAGCATAAGCCGCCGACCAGCATTCTCCAATGCACTCTGTCCTCGGCTTTCCTTTCTAGTTCTATCCCATTTTTGTCCATTCTTCTCATGTCTGTCTCTATTTCTCGGCGTAATGTGTTCTTTGGTCTTCCTCTTCTCCTTTGGCCTGCAGCAATTTAAAAGACTCTTCCGATCTCACACATTGTCCGAACATTCCATGTACCTATAAAAATTGTTGCTCCGGTTGTTAGAAGGTGTATCGGCCGAAAGAACTCTGTTTTCATAATGAGACGTCATAATTATTCCTTCAACTTCCAGGGCAGAGTTTAAATGGTTTGAATAATTTTTTCTGGTTAGCGTTTTTTAGCGAGTCGGTTTTCTACGGGATGGAGTAGCTAACCCCATACCCAACCCTCCTATTTTATCCGGGCTTGGGACCGGCAGTAACCCCCGGAGGAGCCACAGGCGGAGTTTCGAATATCATTTCTATTTATTTTTTCGTAAGATATTTTTCAACAAATTCTTAAACATTTGACGAAAATATCATAACATATTAATGGAAATTCAATAAGATATTGAAAATCAAAACATAATTCATGATAGTTAACAATATATTCCGTCTAAATAAAGATTCAGCTCTTGGTCTTTCTGTTAAATGATTTTGTCATTCCATTGACAAGTTCTCTGAAAACCTGTTTATTATATTCATAGTCATTAAAACCATAGGCTGTTAGTATAATTTGTCTATATCTGATGACTCAACAAAGTACATAGCTCCGGTTTATTTAGTTTAAGTCAAGGAGCGAAGTCTAGAACATGTGCTTCTTCTCATTTGGAACGAGTTAGGTGAATGAACTTGAATTCAGTTTTAATGTTTGCACTAAAAGTTGGACACTTTATTCTTCTTTTCATACATCTAGCGCATTATCCATTGAATTAATGAGTTAAGATATCCAGTATAAACATCAGTACTAGGATCCAGGTTCATCTAACTGGTTACGCCTAAGGAAGAATAAACCTTCGTTCTAGATTATATTCTTGGTCAGATAGCAGTTATGCTAAAATATACAGTTCTTCTTAAACAATGATTTCAATTTCCTGTCTTCTGAATATTTTAATAAAATTTTAATATAATTCACTTATAAACAAATAAGTAGACTATTTTACTTTATTCTGTCATAAAATTACATCAGTAAAACTGAAGTAAAACAATGAGAAATGCATTTGACCAACACTAATTTAAGTATTGTTTTGTATGCTCTAATTGCTTGATCTTTTTGTTTATAACATCACATTAATAAGCTCATATTTCTTTATTTAAGTAATAAAACAATAAGAAACTAATTGATCAGTATCTTATTGGCATATGTGCAAACTGTACATATGGCCTCGATATAGCCTGAGGTCACAAGCTTTATAAGCAAAGATAGACAGTGATTAGTAGTGGAATCCAGGATGAGCGTTTCGTCCTATAAGAGACTAATCAATTGCAGTCCTACAAATCAATGGGAAGATTCAAACAAAAAATACGAAATGAATTCAAACTTCATCCCATTTCATAAAAAAGTGGCTATGAGGACTCAGCAGCTAAGTGGATAACGCGATGGCATTTGAAGCGAACGTTACTGGGTTCGAGTCCCAGAGTAAACATCAACTCTGTGATGCAAGTACATCCAGCTGACGAGTTCCGAGTAGGATGAAACACGCATTCTGAATTCCACTGCTAGCCATTATCCATCTCTGCTTATAATTAGAAAATAGTTTAATTTCTAAAACTATCTCATCAGTTTCACCATGACCTATATAGTTCTGTAGAATTTCATATTTTCATGTAATAGTCCTATTCATTATGGCTTTATTTTAATTCTTCTTTTTTTTAACTCAAACTATTGATCTTCATTAACTAAAAATATATATCGATCAATTTTAAAGTGAACAGTTACTTTTGTTTATTAAGTAAAGAGTATTTTTCATTCATCTTTATGCTCAGGTTTTGTTTTACAGAATAACTAAAATTTAAACCTATGAACTATATATTTTGTTGTTGTCTGGTATGTTTAGTTTCCATAAATAAAACTGGAATTATATAAATCGTATATATTTGATTGGTATTAAATGAAATTCCAAAGATATAAACAAGTAACTATCATATATGATGAATGAAATATTAAAAAAAACAATATTAATAAAAAAGGTATTAATCGAAAAATTAGATAGAAACTAACATAGTGTTTCTTAACCAAAATAATAAAAAAAAATCAAACTTTAGTTCACATGATCATATGTACAATGAATGATCTGTCATGTAGAATGAAGACAAGTTCAACTGATATATGAATATAGGTAACAGGTATTCAATATACATTGACACTGTTCTATTCTATTGACATAAATTTAATTGTAATATGAAACTTATAAAGAATGTTAACTTTTATATTTTTCATAAAAAATATTCTTTTAACAATAGGGTGTGGCATTCAATATATAAGAAACTATTTAAATAGTTTTAATACAGATACACTGACTCCTTCAAGATAGTGTCAATCTACTTCTTAAAACTATCAAATTTATAATTATATGAAATAGTGTCAGTTAATGGTTGAATTTCATATTATTAATATACAAGCTAATTAAATGTTATTTCATGTATAATTATCTAAAACCGTGTCGCTTTTTTGATACTAAGAACTGTAATTGATCGGGATCTTCTGGTATATGTATATATATACCTTGAATGAAGTGCTTCGATAATGTCACTAGTTCACAAAGCATTAACATAACAATCATAAATGAAAATTTAGTAACACTTCAATACATCAGAGGGGGTTTTGTGGAGAATTTATTATTTTCACAGTTGAAATCATGAATCAATTGAAGCTAGACCACCATCGAAAACCTGGAAGCACTGGACGGCCGTTTCGTCCTACTATGGGACTCAACAAAACCCTCTCTGATCTATCATCATATGCTCACTAGTGACTGACTTTAAGAGATATTTCCTTGAGTTCTAGTGGCCAGTGGAGTTCTACCAAGTCTGTTGTAGAGATATCAGCTCACTGAAGACAATTGGTGAACGGTCGCTCAATATCGTGGATTGGTTGAAGTTAGACATTAACACCGTTGGATGCCAGCCAGCTCAGTGGTCTATCGCTTAAGGGCTCCGGCTCAAAACTGGTTGGTCCTGGGTTCGAATCTCGCGAGTGCGGGATCGTGGATGCGCACTGCTGAGGAGTTCCATAGTAGGACGAAACGGCCGTCCAGTGCTTCCAGGTTTTCGATGGTGGTCTAGCTTTAATTGACTCATGATTTCAACTGTGAAAATACTTCAATACATATAAAAATATATATCTTATAGTTAATTATAATTTTTCTTTTCTTGGTGAAGAATGTCATTAGAAAAGATCAATTTGTACTATACAATGAAACAATTTAACATTAGGTATTACTGATGAAACTAATTTTTGTGTGAATCTTTTAAACATCTAATTTTGAAATTTCTTTTGACAGTTATTTTGTGTTATATCGAGCGCCTGTCTGGATGCCCTGTTAATATATGAAGTGATGATTACCACCAATCGAAGAGAGAAGTGAATTATCGATCAGAGCAATGATACACGATAATCCGTATGAGCAGTCTTGAGTACTAATCAGTCCTGCTTTCTGCCTAGCCCAGACAGTTAACTCACGAACATCAATAACAGTCTCTGCAATATGAATCATTATTCTCAAACATACTGGGTTTATATAAGAACTCTCGTCTAAATTAGAACGAATAGTTTCACAGTATTTGAGCGCCGAGTTGAAGTAAGACATTAAATAGGAATAATATATTTGTAAAATCTCAGCGAATGAATTTTTAAATTAAATCCAACGTTTCGCCTGACAATCTGGTCCAAGCTTTTTCAAGGAATTATAATCAAACATCAAAATTATCAAATATAAATAGGTACATGGTTCTCCGAGTTCATTATACACTGAATAGGTCATCCAATCAACGTTAACAATAGTCTAAACTAGGTGTGTTTAAGAGATATGTGATGTGTAGTGAAGAGTGTTCATATAACATATTGTGATGTGAAGTGATGAGTGTTCATATAATATATTGTATAGAATACGTAAGAGATGAGAGGATAAAAAATTACATTCACATTCATATATTGTCTCTTATCAGTGAATTTATAAGGAAACATACAATTTGTAATATATATGATATGAATCATATCTGTCCCTGTATGTATAACATGAAGATAATTAAACAAATAAAAATAAAAGGTGAAATTTGAAGAGCGTAATTTTGACTGTATGTATGTGTCATTTTTAATGTTCCAATGAATTGTTTAACAAATTCCGATAAGACAATAGATTAGAATCATTGAGTGTAATTGTTGTCATTTTAGATAATACGAATTCGATAAAAACATTAAGGAGTTCAGGTTGTTACTTATTAATGATTAGCTGCCATGGCACTGCTAATTGTATTCCATCCCTCCTATTAATATTGTTTGGATTAGCCCAAATGTATAGGGCTTCAGCTGTTTGTCTCTCCTTGTAAGAATTAAAAGCTTTTTGAAGGATTCTTGTGCCATCGAAATCAATTGTATGACCTGATTCTAACGAATGTAATGCTATAGCTGATTTGTTCTCCAATTTCCTTACATCATCTGAGGATTTAGGAATATGTTTCAAACATTGTTTGTATTCCTTCACCCTCACATTCAGTTGTCTTGATGTTTCACCTACATACGTTGCATTACAATCCCTACATTTGATTTCATAGACACAATTTTGTTGTTCTTCTTTATGTATTGGATCTTTAATTCTTACTAATTTTGATTTTAGAGTATTGTTTGTTCGAAAAAATACTCT